TATATATATATAAAAATATACAGATGCTGACAAGTATTTTACCTGTTTTTATTCTGGTAGGCTTGAACAAGCATGGGATGCACAGCAGTTTTATTAAATTTACACCTACTGGTAAATCATGCCTTTAACTACTAAAATAACCTTTATCTAATGGATTGTGAGTCATATTTATGCTAGACATCTGAAAGTAACAACATATTAAGGATGCAAGAAAACAATATTACTCTGAAAATCACAGGAGCCCAAGAGGTCGGTTGAATTGATGTCGTGCTAAAAAGAGAAATGAGATTTCATCCTGTTTCATTGTGCTGATGGCAATAATTACACAGCGAGGATAATAAAGACGAACAGGAGCAAAAGAGGAGACGATAACAAGATTAGAAATGATTGGATTTAAAAAGAAACATGCTGTAACAAGACGAAGGAGTGTCTGGTTATGATTTAGTAGGTGGTGTTAGGAAAGTTTTATATGCAGCAGGAAGGATGACAGATGTTTGAAACGATTAACATTTGATTTTATGTTATTACAGAAACGCAATCAGGTGTGCTGACGTGTTTTACATTCTTATCGTTGATGAGTAACTGAAGTGCCAGTGAAAATGTGTGTGTGTGTGTGGAGGGGAGTGTTTGAATTAGTGTGTTACCTTCTGACACGTCTCAATAAACTCTTCAATTGTCACCACACCATCTCTGTTTCTGTCCATTTTCTGTTGGAAGAAGAATTAAAAGACACATCTCTCAGAACATTTTTGTCAAGATGTCCTGTAGCTCACTGTATTTGTGTTGGATTATTTATTTTTTTTAAACTTATGAGCTTTTAGGACCTGGAAGAACTTGTCAACATGCTCAGATGGAGCATCATCTCGCACACACGGGTACGTGTACCTCCCCATCATGTCATAGATTGACTTCATGATTGCCAGCATTTCCTGAGAGCAAAAGACAGAATCTAAATGAAATTTCAGCTGGTTATTTTTTTACCTTCAATGTTTAGATTTATTTACAACACCATAAGCCAAACTGTGTCAAAAAAGTGGAGTGGGTCGAAAAAAGTTTCTGGAGTGATTTGTAACAAAAGGGTGGCAGCAAAGGTCAAATGAAAGGTTCACAAGACAGAAGACCTATGTTGTTGTATGGTTTAGACAGCTGCACTGACAAAAAGACAGGAGACAGAAGAGTAAGTGGCCGAGCTGAAGATCTTGAGGTTCTCCTTAGAAGTGACAAGAATAGATAAGGTTAGGAATGAGATCATCAGAGGTACAGCACAGGTTGAACAACTGGGACATCGAGTTAGAGACTGAGATGGTTTGGACATGTCCACAGGAGGGACAGTGGGTATATTGGTAGAAGGATGTTAGAAATGCAGCTGCCAGGAAAAAGACAAAGAGAAGATGTATGGATGGAGTTAGAGGACATGGAGGTAGTTGGAGTGAGGACATAGATGGAGGAGGATGACTCACTGAGGTGACCCCTGAAGAAGAGGGAACAGAAAAAAGGAGACAAACTGTTTTATAATCTCACTACAGGAGTCATTTTAATGACATTAGATAAACATGACCTTCACATTTAAAATGTTTCATATTTGAGTAACTACATTATTGAAAATTGGCAACAATTATCCAGTAGCAACTGTTTTCTATTTTAAAGTAAAATTACTATAAAACAAACCGCAGTAGCACATCAGTACTGTAAAATTACAATAATATTAATTTTAAATAATTACTAAAATACAGTATATAATTATGGTACTAATGATTACTGCCTGGGCAGCATTACTGTGTATTTTATAGTGGCAGGATCTGGTTTTGTTGTTCTTCGGTCAATGTTTTCCTTTTTTTTTTTTATGTTGATTTTCTGTATTTTGATTGTTTACTCTGTGTCACCATCAGTCTTGCCACACCCACTTTCACCTGCACCCTGTTTCATTAAGCTCACTTGTGCCCCATCTCCTCATTAGCCCCAGGTTTAAATAAAGGTTGAATGAATGAATTCACTTAGTCTCTATTTTCACATTACTAAGACATAGTAAGGCTTTTGTGTCATGTCTGTTTTTTTCTCCATGCCATAAAACAGTAAAAATCATTTTAAGTGCACCACCAATCAGATTGCAGTGCAAAGCTGAAATTGCCAATGTGGTTAAAAAATGAATATTTAATAGACTTATTAATGTAAAAACTTTATTATTATTACTTATAGTATTTTTTTATGAATTTGGCAATGTTTTAAATAAAATTAAACAAATCAGTGCTGTTTTTCTTCCCCCAGTGCTCACTAGTTGTTCATTATACAAAAACCATCAATGTTGCACCTTCGTCTGAGATGAAATTGTTGCTAATTTATGTCGTTTGGTTGAACAATATTCAAAACGTTGATCTAGAGTAAAATCATCAATAAAAACTAGACAAAGTTGTACAGCAACTCAAACCTTTATGCACACATTTCCACAATAAAAAGGATAAAATTTAGTTAAACAGTTTTGTTTTTGTGCGACTTTTATCATCCAAATGTCGTCTCTCAAACCTCTTACACTTACCTCTTTGGTGATGTAGCCATCTTTGTTAATGTCGTAGAGGTTAAAGGCCCAGTTGAGCTTCTCTGTGACCGAACCTCTGAGCAACACTGACAGACCGATGACAAAGTCCTCGAAGTGGATCGAACCATTTCTGTCCATGTCGAATGCATTGAACAGGAAGTGAGCGTAGGTGGTTGCATCTGTGGGGCAAAAAAATTATAGATTCAGTTTGCTGGTTACATTAAACTACATGTTGGACACAGAAGACAGATAAAAATGAGATTCATAAACATTGAGACAAGAATGTCTTCACAGCAGAGGTTAAAACACGATGGTCGGTTTGTGAGTCAATGGCCTCATAATTTGTGGAGATAAAAATGATTTACAAACTACTTTTCAAAAAACATTAATTTTCATTGAAAAGTTTTAAATGCCGAACCAAACAAAAAAAGGTAATTTTCAAACAACAGCAAAGTCAACTACAATACTGACACACAAAAAGTTAAAACTTTACTTTGAAATAAGAATTATACACCAACTACATTTAGAAAATAACTTGGGACAAAACGAGAAACGTTTTTCAGAGCAGTGCAAAAGTCTTGAGTCATCCCTCAGTCCTTCATTTTCTGCTTCCCAGAAGCCAAACTTTCTCGTAAACTCGTCATATATGGTGTTCTTTTAGACTTTTTGAAGTTTTCTTGAAGGATGAGTCAGTTTAAAAAAAAAAAAACAACTGAATTTACATCCAGTTGTTTTCAGAATCAATTCGTAATTTGATCTTTATGCACTTTTCCTGTCACAAAGACACAATATTTCTCCATTCCTTTGCTGAATATTATATTTCTTTCGACTTCTGCAAGTGTTGTCAGTGCGTGAACTCGCATGAAAGATTTGGCAACGGTTTTACACCGGATGCCCTTACAGACACAACCGGGGCTCAAACCTGTAGCCTCAGGATTACAAGACCACAGCACTGACCACCAAGCTACCCCCTCCTCCACCCTATTCTTTGCCTGAATCTATGATCAACAATAAAAATAACACAATTGACATAAATTGTATTTCAGTGATTATAAGGTGATTCCCAAAGAGCTGTTCGCTGAAACTTCACATACAATCAAAAACTGATGCATCTCTTGGGTCCTGTTTCATGTCTTTGATTATATTTCCCTTTTTCTTTTAAACACATAAATTCAAGGACAAATAGGAATAGTACTTTTTCTTTTTTTTACACTTTGCATTATAGAGTGTTGTGCAAAGACTGGACAGACAATTAATACAATAAGGATAAAGTTTAAAGAAAAACATTGAAAGACCTTCAGAGACTATTTTAATAGTCTGGCTGTTTGGAAGTGAAGTATAGTGGTGGTTTAAAACTTTTTTAAATCAAGGTTTGTACCCAAAAATTCACTCCAGGTGTTCAAAAATAAAACTAAACTTTGTAATTAAGAAAAACAAACAGGCTGACGTGGAAGTCACTCTTACAGAACTGAAGTCGACACAAGAAGGCACTGAAAAACCCAGACAGGGCATGTAAACAACACGATGTTTGACTTGTGAGTGACTGGAAACTGACAGAATATAAGGCCTGGGACTGATGAGAAGATTAGCTGCAGCTTTAACTAACAAAACCAGGAAAAATACAATAAAATAAATAGCAAATGCTTTCTGTTTAAAAATTTCATTCATGTTTTAAGACAAAATCCACCCCTTCACTCACTGTGCAGAGTATTTCTCCTGTAGTCTCTTAAAGTACAAGAAAGGACAAGGAAGGAGAGATTATTTTAGCCTAACCTCCTTGGGGAAAGAACTGAGAATAGATGGACTTGAACGTCTCCTCATCAACCAGTCCACTGGGACACTCCTGCTTAAGACAGGAGAAGTAAATGTATATTAGAAAACATTGCTGTTCCTTTGAAAAAGAATAGTAATTCTGAGCATCCAGGCAGCAGCTGGACGTACGTTCTTGAAGCCTCGATAGAGAGACTGAAGCTCCTTCCTGGTGAACTTGGTCTGAGCCTGCAGCTGGTCCAGCCCCTCTGGCTGGTGACGCACCGTCGACAGCTCCAAATCACTGTCGCTGCTGTCTGTGGGACGAAGAGACAGAGAGAGCAGAGGGATGGATGGACGGACAGGAGAGGAAAGATGATGTGAAACATGAAGAAGAGAAAGGAGGGGAGGACGAGGCAGACAATGAGCAAGTGAATGTGCAAACATTTGGTGGGGTGAGCTTGGGTTTACGTAATTAAGAGGAGGCAGGAGGAAAAACGTGCGCGTTTAAGGGAAATAAGCAAAAAAATTGAAGGGAATTTGGACAAGTGCGTAAAAAAGGACAAGGTACTTTCTTTAGGGTGAAAACGTCTAATGGATAAAAAAAAAAGCAGTTTCATTCAAAAAGGCACTGCAAAATATTAACTTTTTTTTTTTTTTAGATATTTGTTTTACTTTGAACCCAATTTTTTTAAAAGTTGGAATGTCTTTAAACTAAAAACAAAATACAATGATGTGCAAATCTCACAAACCAATATTGTATTCACAGTAGAAAACGGTAAACCAACCAAACGTAGAAACCAACAAATTGTTTGCTTTAATGCTTGCTTTAATGCGTTATCAGTGTACAGCAATTTGGCCAACTGTGTTGTTTTTAAAACGCTTTATAAATAAAGTTGTATTGTATTAAAATGATGGTCTCAAAATTGTCATTTTAAATTTGGTGACAGCAATGCATTTCCAAAAAGTTGGGAAAGGGGCGAAAACAGGTGTAAATACTAAAACAGTTAGCTGTGGCATCCACAAAATCTGTTTAAAGCTCTATCGTGCACAGTTGAAGCCATATGTGGACACCATCCAGACATGCTGTCCCCTCTGGCAAAGAGGAAAACCGTTCTGTGGTCTGACTGATCAAAATCTGCCAGTACTTTTGGAAACTACGGATGTCACGTCCTCTGTACTAAAGAGGAGAGGAACCTTCTGGCCTTTTATCAGTGCACAGGTCAAACGCTTGCCTCTCTGATGGTATAGGGATGCATTAAAACCTATGGCATGGACATCTTACGCATCCTGAAAGGCACCATCACTGCAGAAAGGTACAGGCTTTAAACAACATGTGCCTCCATCCAGCAAAGAAGACCCAGGACTGTGGAACAGCTAGAATCCTCCATCAGTCAAGAATGGGACATTTCCCTCCAAAAACTCCAGAAACTGCTCTCCTGGGTTCATTGACATTTACAGACTGTTGTTAAAAGTGAGGATGCTTCACAGCGATCCATTTCTTTTTACTGTGAATAAAATATGGGTTTCTAAGATTGGCAAATCAATGCAGTG